TTTTTTTTTTTTTTTTTTTGACACAGTCTTGCTTTGTCATGCAGGCTGGAGTACAGTGGCGTGATCTCAGCTCACTGCAGCGTCCGCCTCCTAGGTTCAAGTGATTCTTCTGTCTCTGCCTCCCAAGTATCTGGGACTGCATGTGCATGCCACCACGCCCGGCTAATTTTTTTGTATTTTTAGTAGAGACAGAGTTTCACCATATTGGTCAGGCTGGTCTCAAACTCCTGACCTCAGGTGATCCACCTGCCAAGGCCTCCCAAAGTGCTGGGATTATAGGTATGAGCCACCACGCCTGGCCACCTGTGTTTCTTTAACTCTAAATGAGTGAAATAAAATGAGAGGATTGAATTAGATAATCTCCAGAATTACTTCTGTTGAGATTTTGTTGTTTTTGTTTGTTTGAGACAGAGTTTCGCCCTGATTGCCCAGACTGGAGTGCAATGGCATGATCTTGGCTGATGGCAACCTTCTGCATAAGCAGTTCTTCTGCCCCCGCCTCTCGAGTAGCTGGGATTATAGGCATATACCATCATGCCCGCCTAATTTTGTATTTTTAGTAGAGACGGGGTTTCTCCATGTTGGTCAGGTTTGTCTCGAACTCCCGGCCTCAGGTGATCCACCCATCTCAGCCTCCCAAAGTGCTGGAATTATAGGTGTGAGCCACTGTGCCCAGCCGTTAAGATTGTTTTATATGATGCTTATATCATACTTCTGCTGAGACATGGGTCTTATATGACATTTGAGGAAAATCTGAGGTAACATAGCTGGCCAAATTTGTGTGAATAAATGAGTTAGTGGCTTGGTGCAGTAGCTCACACCTGTAATCCCAACACTTTGGGAGGCCAAGATGGGAGGATTGCTTGTGCCCAGGGTTTCAAGACCAGCATGAGCAATATAGGAAGACCTCATCTCTACAGAAAATTTTAAAATTAGCAGTGTGTGGTGCTACAAGTCTGTTGTCCCGGCTACTCAGGAGGCTGAGGCCAGAGGATTGCTTGAGCCTCCCACCCCGGGGTCAGGGGTGGGGGGTTGTCAAGGTTGCAGTGAGCCATGATGGCTATTGTACTCCAGCCACAGCAGTGGAGCAAGATCTTCTCTCTCAA